GACTGATCTCTTCCAATTCTTGGCACTTTCACCATTTTCTCCTCCCTCTCCTCTGCCATGCAAGTCTCCATTATCCTTAGTGGAACATGTTCCTTGGCAGATAACATCCAAAACTCTGGCACACTTTTGGAGCTACACAGAGAGCACTGGCTGCTGCAGAAAGCTTGGGAGACTCTCCTGGCATGGCAAATGGCCCTTTGGGTTGTCATGCCAACCCTTGTCCAGAACCTGGCCTGGGATGTCCTAGGGCAGCCTGGTCACCCCATCCCTTTGCTGTCTTTCAGCATCACCATTCCAGTGCAGACCTTCTCCAACCTGCAGATCCGAGGTCAGTAGAGTGGGCCTTGTAGGAAGGGTGTTGGATGCCCACCTCCTCCCCCAAGATCATGGGCTGTTCTGGCCTGGGGCCAGAGACCAGGGGAAAGAGGTCTGGGCTCTCCCTGAGGGTCTTCATGATTCACTGCAGAGCTCCTAGCCAGAACACAGCATCCCTGGGCACTCAACAGGTGGGGCTTGCTGCTGCTCCTGTCCTGCTCTGCCTGTGTCCCTTCCTCCCCTCCCAATACCCCATTCCACAGCAGAACTGGATGAGGTCTCTGCTTCTGCCTGCTCTGCATGCCTTGGGCAAGGTCTGCCCTTTTGAGTGTTTCATATTTTTTTTTTCCAACTGCTTGTCACTACAGGGGGCAAAAGCACCAAAGAAGGGGAAGGTCACAAGGTCACAAGACATCTCAAAAGGCTCACAATACAAGTTATACCAATACAGGCTCACCAGATTGTAAATGGAGCCCCGTCGGCTCTCGGTTAGCTGCCTGCCTCTCAAATGAGTGCTTTTCTCAGCTTGACAGGGAGCAAGCAAGTCTCAGCAAGCCCATTTTCCTGGTCCTCTTGGGCTCACTCCTCCCAGGAGTCCTAAAGGACCAGAACTATGTCACTTTCCCAGGAACCTCAGTGCCCAGCACAGGGTAACTGTAGGTTAAACTAGCAGATCTGGCCAGTGTTCAAGGTGGCAAGTCCCTGGGTACTCAGATGAGATGCTCTCAATCAGATGCCAGCCTCTGCCTCACCTCCTCTGTCACTGGGAAGTCCCCTTGGGTCTTGCTGTGCCTGGTGGCCAGGTTCTGTGCTTGATCCATCTGTCCCCAAGGCTCTGTTGCTCTTCTCAGCGCAATGCAGCCCAGAGGATTATTTCCCTCAGGAGTGTTACTCTTGTAGTGAATGAAATTTTATGTTCTCTGCTCTTAATTTTAAATAATAGTGTGACATGTTATATTTTTCTCTCTAAGGGGAGACTAAATTACTTTTTTGTTGATATGTGGCCATCAATGATTTGTAGATAAGGAAAGAAAATTCTCTTCTTCTGGGTGAGGATATTTAGGAACACCAGATGTGTTTCTAAGGCTTAATTCAGCATCAGAAAGTTAACCATGCTGACCAGGTAGTGAAAATCTGCTGAGTGCTAGACATTGAGGGATCACATAAGTGACAGACAAGTAAGAAAGGGAAGGGACCTATACGTATCAATCACTAATATGTGCCAGATGCTTTACATACATTATTTTAGTTAATCACCTTCTCACTGCCACCTAGAGACCATCATCCCCATTCTGCAATATGGCTGAGGTCAATTATTTTGTATATATGGCTGGTTAGTGGCTGAGCTAGGGCTCAAGCTCTGGTCCACCAGATTTCAAAGCCCACGTGCTTCTTCTCTGATGCAGTACTGGATTGCCAGAAAGCCAGATAGGGATTTAAATGAAGCCAGGTCAGAGATGGCAGAGCACTGGATTGCAGTGGGATGTGCCCAGCACCATGGGGACTTGGGAGGTCTCTAGCCCTTTTGGAAGAGCAGGGACTCTCCCTGCCTGGATGGATAGGCACTTGTGCTGGTGATTCGTGTGTGTGATGGGGAAGTTGGGTGTAGGAGAGGATGTGTAGTGTCCTGAGGACCCACGGGAGGCCTCTTCTCCCAACACCTGTAGAAACCAGCCTGGACACCAAGTCCGTGTCAGAAGGCCACCTCAAGAGGAACATTGTGGTGAAGACTGTGGAGATGCGTGATGGCGAGGTGAGGAGGGATTCTGGCTGTGTCCAGGGATACTTGGCAAGGCTCTGGAAGAAAGCCTGGGCCAGGCACACAGGAGGTCCTTGGTGACTCCCAAGAGCTCCTGGAGTGCTATGGACTTTGGGGAGGAGCCTGAACATCACTCCTTTCTTCAGTCTCCATGGGCAGTGAAAGGACCTAGGCCACTGGATTGGGTCCCAACTCAGGCTCTCTCCCTTTCTCACCCTCCAGACTCAGGTGCTTCTGGAAACAGGACTGGGAGAGAGAGGAAGGAAAGCTAGTAGCTTTCACTCCCAACTCTGGCTGGGACAGTTGGGAAGAGGGAGTACTTTCAAATTTTATTCAAAGGAATCTGCCAGAAGGACAGGAGAAGGGATTTGGCATGCTGCCCCCTTGGCATTCCCAGTTGGAGTGGCAGCAGCAGTAAGGCTACTCTTATACCATAAACCCTGTGTACCAGGCATGGTGCTAAGCACTGTACAAGTTCTCCTTTACTACCCACTCCGACCACTGCACAATGAAAGGCGGTCTTAAGAAAAGAAAGTTCTAGGATGGTTGGGTACTTGCCTTACATAAGTTACATAGCTTAGCATGGGGGACCTGGAGTCGGTGAGCTCCTAAACTGTTGCACTGTGCACCTTCCCTGTCCCCTGCAGGTCATTAAGGAGTCCAAGCAGGAGCACAAGGATGTGATGTGAGGTGGGCCACCAGGTGGCCCCACAGCATGAGGGGCCTGTAGTGGGAGCAGTATAGTTGCTTCTCCTTGGATAGCTCATTTCTCCAGACCTGATTCCTAACTGCTGCTCCCCTCCCTCCTCCATCTCTACACCAGTCTGCTGCCCTAGGCTCAGTCAGCATTCGGCCTGCCAGATGGCACCCACCCAGCACCTAGCAACTTCAACTAACAGGGCACTCACACCAAAGGGGCAGTCTAGAAGTGTGGCCAGCAGCTTGGGTTAAAATTGGGAGCGAAGGAATAAGTTGGATAGGGCAGGGGGCACCTACAAATCACCCTGTTGTTATGGCAACTGTTGCCAAAGCTGGAGGTCTCTGGAGTCTCTGGGAACTGGGCTTTGAGTTTTCTTAGGCTGCTGGAAGAGAAAGTCCTCACAGGCACGGCAGCCCTGGGCAGAGGCTTGCTCTTCTAGAATGACCCTGACCAATGTAGGAGAAGTCCTGCTACCTAGACTACAGAGAAAGGTCCCAGGGGGCCTCCTGAATGGTAATTCAAATGTCTTAATCCCATTGAGCTGCCATCCAGGGAACCAGTCTATAGGCAGGTAAGAGCTTGGTTCTCAGCTCTCGGGGAATCTACAGTTAAGTGGAGAGGGAAGGAGTGTTAGAAGGGCAATGAGGGGGGCTTCCTGGCCCCTAGGTGTGGATACAGAGAGGTCAAACCCAGGACGACTCCCCCATATGGGGTAGAAGGGACACTGGTAGTAAGGAGGCAGTGGGGATGATGCCAGACATCAGAGTGGGGATTGTGAGTAACAGTTACACTTGGCCTCTGAGTCATGCGAATCCAGAAAATGACTCATCCTTTTGAAGATGCTGAAACAGGGGAGAGAGGGCTGCTTTCCATGGGGGCAGAGTACCACTGTCTCAGTTCTGAAGGCCTCTTATGTGCTGCATAATCTTTGACCACCCAGGCCTCAGAGCCCTGTGACTGCTGCCTCCTGACCACAGTGAGGCCACTACCCTCCACCTAACCTTCTCCACCTGTAATGACTAGCTGCTGCTCTTCCCTACATTAAGGGCCCCTTGTGTCCCCTCTTACCTGCGTATAGAATGTACCCCACCTGTATTTTAGGCAGCACCCTATTTTATAGTTTAGGAAACTGAGGCATGAGCAGAGCAAAGCCTGAAGCAGGGGCACTTGGGCACACTCTTCCACCCCAGAACACCTGTTCTACTCTCCCTGGGCAGGCTGGTGGGCAGGTGGTAGATATTTGTGCCCAGAAATGGGGCTGGAAGGGCCCACTCCATGGTCCTACTCCCCTCTGAGGCCAAGAAGGAAGATGGGGTCCCTCAGGGGATCCCTCCCTCTTCCCAAGACTTGGTGCCCTCTCTTCACTCCTTGCTACCATCTGCTGCTGCTGTTGCTGCTAACCTTCAGGGAAGTGCCACCATCTTTACTCACTGAGGAGAAATAAAGATGCATACCATGGCCTTCCCCAGAGTGTACTCTCATCTCTTCATGGCAGGGGTGGGGAAGCTGGGGTCAAGATGTAGCACTGGACAAGACTCAACTTACTCTTTATCTCTTATTGTCTTGGGAGTCCAAGTCCCTATGGCAGTAGCCACATACCAAATCCCATTTCTGACCTGTTCTGCCACAGTAGGCATGGTACCCTGGCCTCTGCTCCCCACTCCATCTTCTCATCCCCAGCCTGAGTGCAGAAAGCCCAGAATTTGATCTCTGCTCCCTTCACCATTCCCCATCCTAGTCTTCATCTTTACTCCCACACCTGCTATTCCTACCTGCCATTCCCAGAATGATGCTGGGGAGAAAGCCAAGGAAGACATATGCTAGCTCCATTCACTTTTTTCTTCCTTCCTCCTGTGCCACCCACAGCTCAACCAGTGCCCCGTCAGCAATCCTCAAGGGCACCTCAAATGCGATCCAACAGCAACAGGTGATTTGGTGGGTATTAGTTCACTTCCTCCTCTGTCCTAAGTGTGAAGTCAGAAAACATATGCCCCTGCCTACTTCCCTTCTCCTCAGTCCCCAAGCTATCACCTGCTTTAGGTTTCCCCACTTCCCAGATCAGGCCCCATACCTGCTCATGAAATTGGGAAGCAGATTGTAACTAATAGATTTGTCTGTATCTTCTTGCCACATGTCCCAGCCCAGGACGCCTACCCAGAGGCATCTGGTATCATTTAACAAACACATTGAAGCACAAGTGGTCTTCAGAGCTTGGGAAGAGAGAGCCTAGGGTGAGAACATGGGACGAAAGCGAAATGAGTAACAGCAGCAACGACAGAGGTGAACGGTGACAAAAATTGCTGTGATGAGAAGATAGCTTATCAGGGTGAGCTCCACAGCAGCACGAGTCTCAGGGTCAGACAGTGAGGCTGGGTAGTGCCCTCGGGATGTCACACTGAGTCGAAACCCAGCAATCTGCACCCCTTGCCGCCAACAATAGTAAATGCCCCGGTCACTTAGCTGAGTGAAGCGAATGTGGAGCTGGTTGCCATGGTCAATGAATACTCTCATGGATCTGTTGACACCTTTTAGGTATTGTGTGCGGTAGAGGTGCTGGTGGTCCTTGTCCCAAGCCACAGCATGCTCTGGCCGGGCCCCAGGACAAGAGATGATGAGTCCATGGCCCAGTCTCTGCTGGTGAAACTGAATGGGCACTTTGGGCACCCAAGGCTTGCTACCCACTTTGGACACGTAGTTGTATATAGCCAGCACACTCTCCCGGAACCGGTTCTTCTTTTCACAGGGCACCAGGCAGCTCTGAACCAGCAACTCAGGCATGTGGTCCCTGACTGTGGTGCGCAGTCTCCTAGGCACAGCCTGTGAACCACAGGACACCACATCAGACTGTGTCCTCCGGTACCGTGGGGAGAGGTCAGGGCTCTGCAGGTAGCAGAGGCCAATGCGCCATTGCTCCCCACGCACCCCACAGCGGTCACAAGGGGTCCACTCCCAGAAGGTGGTGAAGACATGGAGGTTCCCATAGTACTCATCAGCAAAGGGCTTCTGGCCCATGTCCTTGAAGGTCGCCACCATTCCCTCATTGCTCTGGATGTCCACATCGTAGGCATAAAAGTATTCCCCTTTGCGGGTGCCACAGAAGTACAGACCTGAGTCCTCAGGCTGGGCCCGGAAAACCAACAGGCTAAACATGCGGATGCTGAAACGGACTAGCATGTCACTGCCCACACGCACCTGGGCCGCCTCGGTCAGCACACGCCCATCAAAGTCTGTCAGCACTTTGGTGTGGCTGCTACCCACATGCTTTTGATAGTACCAGACTACAGCCGGCACCTCCTCAGGCTTGCAGTGACAGGGAAGCTCAAAGCTCATATCAGCCAAGTAGGCAGCATTGTCAAACATAAGGAAAGCAGGGCAGGGGGTCTTCAGAAAAATGTTCTCCTTCTCCACTATTTCAAAGGCCTGGAGACTGCCCCAGGCACAGAGAAGCACAGTGGTGTGGGCCAGGCTCATATCTACAGGAGGGAGGGACAAGAGGGGCAGGGAAAAAAAACAAGGCACTGAACACCTATGGGGTTTCTAGAAATCACTGCCAAGAAGAGGCCTCTATATGAGGAAAGAACTAAGCAGCCAGGAAAATAAGCAACAGTCTTCACAGGAAGCAGCCAAATGCAAGGCAATTTATTTCCAACTGATGTACTAGATGTCCTTGGAATGTTCCAGGCCTGATCTCGAGGGAAAATCATTCTAGAACTTGGCCTTCACTCACCTTTCTAGAACACTGGCACTCCCCTGCTCCAAGAATGGGTCAAGGAAAACCAGATGGAGCCATAAGGCCTTTGTCCTTCGCTGATCTAGGCCCTGCCCGACCTGCCCCATATAAAATATCTTCCCTTCCATCAGTCTGGAAGCCTTCCCTCCAATACACCTGGCCATCCAGGACATTGGACCTAAGTTAATGGCTTGGGGCTTCCCCAACCTGCACAAGAACTCAGCCCTTAGAGAAAAATTCTGTACCTGAAATGAAGTAGCATTTGGTCACTGTTAATTAAATGTCCATTCATTGACTTCAAGCTACAAATATTCTGATTAAAGAATTATGAGTATCAATGTTTATTTAACATGAAAGATGAACAAGTTTGCTTTTTTCTTTTTCTGAGTGGAGGCTGTACCTGGTGTCACCTGCATTTGGTTGGAAACACATCTATCTCTCATGGCCAGTGGGTTAGACTCAAAAAGGATGGGAAGCAAAACTGATTTCAACCTCCTGGACCCTTTTCTGTCCTGTGGATTCACACAGTTCAAAAGATGGATACAGTGACTGGAAAAGTTAGAGAGACTTGATTCAAGTTTTTTCTCTGAAAATTCCAAGCTGAGAAGGGAAGTAGATGTGGGTTTCTCATTATAGTCCTGCAGAAACCCCAAGACAACCACCAAAAAAATGTCTCTGATGATCATTGAAGCTCACGTCAGCCAGGGAGGCAGCACTGTCAAACATCAGGAAAGCAGGTCAGGGTGGTCTTCTGAGAGGGACTCTGAGGGCAGCCAGTCCTATCAGTGAATCTGGTACAGCCCTAATAGCTCCTGCAGGAGCCCCTCCTCCTCCTGGAGCCCACCATCTTGCTCCTCCACAGCCTGTTTGTCTGGACAGCCCCCCTCCTGCAAAGATCTGGGGGTAGCCATGGCCTGCAGCTTCTGAAACAACCCTCGGCAACTCTCTTGCTCAGCGTGGCTCAGGAGGCTCAGGTTCAGGGTAAAGCGTCCCGTGCCGGCCAGGCTGCGAAGGACCCCCAGCACTGTCATCCTGTCAGCTGGCCTCACATGATCATCCAGTACCACGAGCAGCTCCCCTAGAAGTCCAAACCCCACATCTGTCTGGAAGAGGTGACTCAGTTTGGGACCTCCAAGCTGCAGCAGGGCCTGGTAGCGCTCTGGTCCACTCTGCAAGTGTCGTCGCCAATCTCGGTAGAATTCTGCTGAGGTCTCAGGCTGGAAGGGGACTTTCTCCTGGGTCACAAAGGAAGCAAAGGGGGTCCAGAGCTCTTCTGGTTGCTCTGTGACAGTGAGGTTAAGGGGAGCCTGTGGGTTTTCATCTTAACTCTGGGATTGCTCTCTAAGCACTGGGTAGGCTACTGTGCCTGTGGGTCTCATTTTCAAAGGAGGGAACTGGGGATGTGAGAGAGAGGGAGGGCCCAAGGAATCCAGGCCATGATTTGGCCTGGATTCTCACTTATGCTGGGATTTTCCTACTGATAAATGGGACATAGCTCTGGTTTTCAATAGTAGATCAGTATTTGCTCTGAGAAGGGTGAAGGATTTAATGGGAAATCTCAGGAAGAGAGAAAGGAACACAAAGTGAGTGTCAAGGACCTGACAGGCTGGGTCTCTCTCCCCAAACTGCCACAGGATTGTTGTACTATCTATGATCTATCTCAGAAGCTGAGCTATCCAATTCTGACGTAGGAATGAAAGTCAAAAGACTGATGGAAGGAATGCTTTCTGACTCATTCTGCTCAGTTCATCTCAGCACTATCATCTCGTGGTTGCTTTTCTTTCTGTGACTAGAGGCAAAATCCTGTCTCTGTTGTCTTCCATGAGATAAAATGAAGAAGTATGTGTTGTAAGAAGACATGGTTGGAGCTTTAGGACAGAGCATTCTGCTAGTCTAAAGAGGCTGGGCCTTACCTACCTGGGAGATTTCGGTGGCCACATCTTGGGAAGGTTGCCCTTGAGTAGTGTGACAATTCCAGGGCACAGTTCTCTTTCCTCCCATCTTGTCCTTCCGCTCCAGAGGCTTCAGATGTGATGCAAGGACAATACTCCTATAGATAAAGGACAGAGAATGGGTGGTGAACTTAGCTGTGTCTTGGGAGGGAGGCAGCTAGATTTTGCCTGATGTAAGGTTGAACCTGTTGACAGGATAATATTACAATTATGATAGCAGTATAGCTAAAAGTTTTCAAACTCTGCACATGAAGCCAGATACTGTGTTCAGAATCTTATATGCAATAGCTTATTTAATTATAACAAAAGTTATTCTCTTTACAGATGAAAAAATTGAGGCTCAGAGAGATTAAGGAACTTTCAGAAGATTACACTAGTAGTAGAGGTTGAGGCCAGGAGCTGAGAATGATCTGATTCCAGAGTGCTTGCTGTTAACTACTGTAGCCCATCATAGCAGGACGGCCTGAGAAAAACGGCAGTGAGCCAACCTGAACTCCTCATAGGAAGGCACCCTCTGTTCCACTGCCCGTAGCTTGGCAGCATTCTCTCGTTTGTACTTCTCATCAGCAGCGAGCGCATCCTGCAGCTCTTTCTCCAAAGCTTTGAAGTCAATAACATCATTCCTTTCCATGGCCTGTTCCTGGGAAGGAAGGCATAGGGAATGAACATTAATGGAGGGCCAATATCAGGAAAAGGAGGATGCCTCTGGATTATTTTTTAGTATTTATATTTTAGTTGTGGATGGACACAATATCTTTATTTTATTTATTTATTTATTTTTATGTGGTGCTAAGGATTGAAACCAGGGCCTTGCATGTGCTAAATAAGCACTCTACCAATGAGCCACAACTCAGCCCCACCTCTGGATTCTTTACCAAAACACAAAATGACCCCAAAACATTATGATACTTATCTTAGCAAGCATTACAAAAACCTGGCTTTCTACTTATACAAGTTGAGTTGCACAGGGAGGGCTTATATAAGACTTGTCACTGAAAATACAGAATTCTGACTTTCAATTTGGAGCCCTGTCTTGATTTTGTTCTCTATTCTAAAAATATTTATAGCTCGGTAGTAAAGCACTTTCCTAGCATGTGCAAGGCCCTGGGTTTGATCCCCAGCTCCACAAAAATAATAATTTTGGTGCTTTAGCTGAAGAGGCATTTGGATCTCAGAATTCAGACCATTCATTCTTCCACATAGGATCACTCCATAGCAAGTTGTTCCATTGAGGATATCACACAAAAGCAGGAGTCTTGTTAGCTACCAGAGCCCAGAGATAGCATTGCATCCTTCCTGAAATGTCTTTAATGGGAAAAAAATAGTCTTCACCCAAACCAGAAGCAATGAATGAACAGGAAACTGAAGTATCAGAAGAAGGAGCTCAATAATCTCCATCCCCAAATCTCTCTGTCCAACCCAAAGCTGGAGGCACAGATGTCTAAGTACATGAGAAAAGTCTTTAGTTCTGCCGTTGTACTTTTGTAGTCTCAGGGCAGAGTCTAACTGGCCTTTTCTACAAGAGAATCTTCCAGATGGGTTCCAGTCTGGGCTCTGGCATTTACTTGTGAGACCTTCCTGAGCTTCAGATTCCTGGTAAGTTGAGCTAGATTTTGTGATTCACCCAGGAACAGCACTAGAGCAGGAAAGCAGGAGGTCTACAATTAACCCCATGGCCACCCTGACCCCCACCTCGACGTGGAGAAGCTGAATGCTGAGAAGGGAGTTGGGTTGGTCAGCAACTGAATCTAGGTATCCCGTTCCTGTCCATGTTTTTGTTGCTGTTATTGTTTGTTTTTTATCTTCCTGGTTTAGCCTCCTAAGTAGCTGAGACTATAAGCCCGACACCTTGTGTGGCTTTCTATCCAGTTCTGAGGCCTCTCCTGTCATCGAATGAATAGAACAGCTCTTCCTTTCCCATTACTCAGCCTCCAGTCCCTCACCCTCGCGACCCTGGCGTTGGTCCCCTTGTTTTCTTTGGGGATCCCTGATATGCTAGAACCGGAAGATAGCTCAGCGCATTCTTCACCCCACAGCGGTGGTTGCCTGGCAACTACGCCAACCGCCTTCCCACGTGACCGGTCCGAAGGCCCCCTTTCAGGGTGGCTCCGAGACGCCTGATCAGATTTCTGCGTCCTCAGACCTCACTTTCTTTGGAGCAGCGCAGGCCTTGATTTGGAGACCCACAAGTCCACTTTACCGGTTCCTGTCTTCGCGGTCAGCAGTCCTTGGAGCAGGTTTGCAGGCAGAGGTCAGTCCTCCGAGAAACGCGATCGTGGCGTCTGCGAGGTCCTTCCTGGCTGCGGGCGCAGACGTTGTCGCGGCGTGGGACGGAAGCGCGGTGTCCAGGGGCCGACTCGGAGCACTTGGCTGAGCTGGCGGGAGGTGAGCTGCCGCGGGGTAAGCGCTGTGGAAGGTTTTTTTTTTTTTTTTTTTTTTTCCGGGTGGAATGGGAAATTAAAGAACGTCATATCTGGAGAGGTGTTGTATACTCTCTGTCCCTTTCTCTTCACAAATGGGTAAATTGAGGCCTGGAGCGGGATCGACACATGCGCACCGGTTCCGGGCTTTCCTTGTTTTCTCAGTGGGTAACGTCCTGTCCCTAGGCAGAAGCTAGGCTCTAACTGTCCAGTCCCCTTTCTTCCTCCTCCATCTATGCCGACTTAATTCCTTCTTTGCCAAGTTCCCACCTTTGAGAGCCTGAAGTCTAGCGGAGAAATGCAGATTTAGTACACAAGAGATCCGGGTTTGGGGTATCTGTGGGAAAGTCTGTATGTGCAGTGTTGGAGTCATTAATTCACTCAACAGATACTTATTGGGGACAGTTTTGTGCCAGGCACTGTTCAGAGTAAACAAAACAAAGTCCTTGCTTAAATTGTAGTTGGAGAAATGAACAGCAAACAAATTACTATAAATGAGTTACCGGTAAATGTTAACGAGACAGTAGAAGCGAGGTTGGAAAGCATGTATGGAGGACTTCAAAAAGTGACAGAAAAGGTGACGTTTTAATAAAGTAACAAGGTATAAATATCCAAGGGGCAAAAGAGAATGACAAGTGCAATGGTTCTGAAACAGAAATTAACTTGATTTGTTCCATGAACAGCCTTCTAGAAAAGTTTCTGCAGGCACTTAATGAGAGTCTTTTTTTTTTTTGTAATCTTCAAAAGTCATGTAAGTCCAGAAAAACTAAGAAATCGTTCTAGATTGAATGAGAATAAAAACACATCAGCTAAATGCAGACGGTAATCGAGGATGGGATTCTTGGTTGTGCGGGACATTATTGGAACAATTTGTAAAACTTGAATGGAATATGTGTATTAGGTGGTAATTCTGTGCTGGTATACATTTTTCAATTATGGTGGTTGTGTTATGATTATATAGGACAATGTTAGTAGTGTGGTAGAACACTTGCCTCACACTGTGAGGCACTGGGTTCAATCCTCAGTATCACATAAATAAATAAAGGTATTGTGTCCATCTACAACTAAAAATACATATTTGAAAAAAAAGAAAGAAATGGAGGAGAGAGTATGGAAGTAGGACAATGAGTAGGGCATAGAGGTGGGGAAGGTACTGGGATTTGGAGGGAATTAGTTAGTAGGTTACATTAGTCACATCTGGAAAAGGGGCATGAGAGGTATCTGACCAACCTTAAAAGTAGAAATACAAGTGCTTGCCATGGAGTCTTTGATTATCTTGCCAGAATCTAACTCTTCTCCTCTCTTTGAATTTTAGCATCATGGATACTGACTTGTATGATGAATTTGGAAATTATATTGGGCCAGAACTTGATTCTGATGAAGATGATGATGAATTGGGCAGAGAGACCAAAGATCTTGATGAGGTACAGCGAACATATTGCTTTTTATCATCTCTCTTTTAAAAAGATCAGTAAAGTTCTGAATCCTCTGTATTCCCATAATGCCCTGTGTATATCTCTTAACGTTGCCTTTTTTACAGCCTGACTTATACTGCCCCACAAAAACTCAGCTACTAAAGATCCAAAAGGGAATATAAGATAGTTTCACTGATGAGGTGTTTTTTTTTTTTTAAATACCTTTGTTTTATTTATTTATTTTTATGTGGTGTTGAGGATCGAACCTGGGGCCTTATGCGTGCTAGACGAGCGCTCTACTATGAGCCACAACCCCAGCCCGATGAGGTGGTTTATATTCTGAGCTCTGGTTCATCTGAAAGTAGCTTTTCTTCCATTTGCCTGAAGTATCTTTTGACAATCATGTGTAATTCCAGTTTAGAAAAGGTAATCAGCTTTTTTGGGCTGGGGATGTGGCTCAAGCTGTAGTGCGCTCGCCTGGCATACGTGTGGCCGGGTTCGATCCTCAGCACCACATACAAACAAAGATGTTGTGTCCGCCGAAAACTAAAATAAATAAATTCTCTCTCTCTCTCTCTCTTTAAAAAAGATTTTAAAAATTTAAAAAAAAGAAAAGGTAATCAGCTTTTCTAAGAACATCTACACTGGGACCTCCCTCACAAGCTCAGGTCTCTCCCCCCCATTTTTTTATTTTTTGTTTTTGGTACTGGAGATTGAACCATGGGACACTCAACCACTGAGCCACATCCCCAGCCTGTTTTTGTATTTTATTTAGAGACAGGGTCTCAGTGAATTGCTTAGGGCCTTGCCAAGTTGCTGAGGCTGGCATTGAACTTACCATCCTCCTACCTCCGCCTCCTGAGCTGCTGGGATTATAAGCATGCACCACCACACACAGCCTCCCCCATATTTTTTAATTGATGCATTATAGTTGTATTTAATGATGGGATTTGTTACATATTCGTACATGCACACAATATAACAATATAATTTACAAGCTTAGGTTTAATATATATATGTGTGTGTGTGTGTGTATATATATATATATATATATATATATATATATATATACATACACATATTTTTATATGGTTGTATTTCACTTATTTATTTTTATGTGGTGCTGAGGATCAAACCCAGGGTCTCACATGTGCAAAGTGAGCACTCTACCACTGAGCCACAATCCCAGCCCTACAAGCTTAGGTTTGTAAAAATGCACAAAAACAATAAAAGGGAAAGTATAGACTTCTTTGATTCCCCTTGAGGAAGGCTATGGAAAATGTAGTCCAGATGATCTGAGGCTTGCAAAAGACACCTAAGGAGGCTTTGTGTGTGTGTGTGTGTGTGTATGTGTGTGTAGATGTTGTGATGTAATATCTTTATTTATATTTTTTTATGTGGTGCTGAGAATCGAACCCATTGCCTCACATGTGCGAGGCGAGCATTCTACCACTGAGCTATGACCCCAGCCCACCTAAGGTGGCTTTTTTGTTTTATAATTATTCAGAACGTAATCTAGAGGTAGAAAGGCCTGTTGTTAACAGTGAATTAGTCTGGATTAGCAGTGCTTAGGGAGCTGTAATAGTCATGGGACAGCAAGAAAATAGAACAGAAATTCTGGCTCCATCTGTCTTTTCAATTGGAAAAAAATATTCATCAAACTAGAAAAGGATAGAATAAACTGGAAGAAAAAGAAAAGTTGAAGCCATATAGGTGATGTGACGTAAAAGGAGAACGTTTTGTGTGTGTGTTCAGATCTGTAGGGCCAGGTGATTTATATTTTGGCTGAGGTGTGGGGAAGACCTTGCAGAGATAAGCTCACTGTGGTCATCTTTAAACTGTTGGGAGTGACTGAGGTACCAAAAAGTAAATTATACAGCTCATCCCGATTTTTAAAGATGGAGATAACGTGCCACATTTTAGATTAGTAAGTGTGATAGTGTGATATGCATCCATAAAATAAGTAATTCATGAATACATTCTCATTCAATCCCTGCAGATAGAAAAGTCTTCTGTCCTCATTCCATTTTACCCCTTTTCCAAATTAAGCACTGTGGCTCTTGCTGTCCTTGTGAAAAGATTTTGGCTATGTCAGAGTACAGTTAGGGAATGCTGCAGCTGATTGAACAATGGAACCCAAAAAGTATTGCCACCAGAGCTCTTGTGACATGTTTTAGGCATCTGTGCTTGATTTGTCTTTTTCAGCCTTATCATTAATGACTTGGGTGAAGATACAAAATGGAAGTTTATAAAACTTATTTGGGACATAAGCTAATATATTTGAATTCAAAGTGATCCCAATAAACCTGAATTCCAGACTAATGCTCAATAAATTCATTTGTTAAATATTTATGAAGCTCTTTACTATGTTCAAGAAATCATGATGCAGAGAGAGCAGAGATACTGCCCCTGCCCACAGGAAACCTTCTACTAACTGGGGGAGATAAAAATACAAAAATATTTATAATACAAAGCAGGGGAAGAGGAGTATGCTGTTTAAGTTATATTAACTTCATGCTGTAGTAATAGTATGTGAGAAATAATTTCTGACTGGGATGACCAAGAAAGATATCTAAAAAAATAACTTTCATACCGGAGCCAAAGAATGGATAGGTGTCTGTAGAGATGGAAAGTGAACAATTAGTGGTAGTCTGGGTTGGGGATGGAATTGGGAGGTAATAACTTAAGAGTATGGAACTCCTTTTTTGGGCTAATTAAAGTGATCTAAAATTGATTGTAGATATGGTTGCACAATTCTGTAAAGACACCAAAACCCATTGAATGATGCACTTAAAATGGATGGATTGTGGGCTGAAGATATGGAGTAGTATAGTGTCTGCCTTGCATGCACAGGGCCCTAGGTTGAATCCCCAGCATAAGAAGGAAAAAAAAAAAAAGAGTGAAGGAGTGAATTGCATGTGGAAAGTGGGTCTTATCTCACCAAAGCTATTAATAAAAATATAGAGAAAAAAATGTAGAAATGATGATTGTGATGACTAGTGCATTTTAGGATCCATTCGTTTCTGTGAGTACATTTGGTCTGTGACATCTCCTCAGTTTTTCCTCGTGTGCATCATTCTCTCAGTGATGGACACTCAGGTTACCTGGACCAAGCCTTTCCTCACTACAGATAACACTGCAGTGAACTTTCTTAGTTGTGTCCCTTAATGCATGATGTG